GACACCAAAGGCTACAGGGCTTGGGGACCCTTCGCATTTAGACGCTTGCTCGGCTAGGACTGTCCTCAGAGGGGAGATCAGCAGGTTGGGACGGCTGTGGGCTCCCCATGTTTGCTCACGGACGGACAGGAGCCCGTCCCTGAGATGCTGCTGGGGCTCCCCGGGCAAGGCCTGCCAGGCTGACGGCCTCAGACCCCGCTCCAGGCGCCGCTCTCAGCTGCTTCCCGGCGATTCCCAGCAGGCTGCCGCCACGCGGCCCCACGGACTCACCCTGCCTGTTCCCGCCATCCTGACGCGGATGGGAGAGCAGCGTCAGCGGCCCTGTCACCCGAACCCACCGAAACTTCTGCAGGAGCCGAGGCGGAGCCCTCTGCGGAGCGCCAGCCTGGCTCCAGCAGCCGTTCCTTTTGTGCGGCTTTGTCCTGGGGCCTCGCCACGGGGCCCGCGGGATCTTACTAATAGTTCCCTGACCAGGGATGGAGCCCGAGCCTCCTGCGATGGAAGCGGAGTCTCACCCACTGGACCGCCAGGTAAGTCCCATGAGCAGCCATTTATATCCCTCGAGAGGACTTGGAACATTCCAGATGGTTCTACAGAGAAACGCGACTCATCTGCAGAGTTAGAGACGGGAGCGAAGATTTTCTGTGAATTGGGGGCTTTAGCAAGCCATGGCCCGCGGAGGGCCTGCACGGGAAGCCGAAAAAGGAGTCCTGCTTACGCTTCGGGGGGCCTCGCCAGCCCCGTTTGCCTGGGCTGTCCTGGTTTTGGACCCCCACGCTGGGAAGCCCCTCAGTCCCAGGCAAACGGGGACGGTTGACCCCCTCACCGAGGCTCTGGAAAGCACATTCCCAGAGATGCTTCTTCACTCCAGCCTGCTGGTCCTTACGCTGCTGGCGTGCGCGTGCGCGCTCAGTCCTGTCTGACTCTGCGACCCCAGGGACTGTGGCCCGCCAGGCCCCTCTGTCCATGGGATTCTCCAGGCAAGAATACTGGAGTGGGTTGCCACTTCCTTCTCCAGGGAATCTTCCGGATCCAGGGATCAAACCCAGGTCTCCTGCGCTGGCAGATTCTTTACCAGTAGTGCCACCTGAGTAGACCTACATATATATGTACATGCGTATATTAAGTACATACATATCCATGAATGTGCTGTAAACTACATTTGAGATGCGGGGATGGGAGGACAGATGGGAAACTTGAAGCTTAGTGAGGCTGGGAAGTTGAATCAAGGCCACTCAGAGCTGGCGAGCAGAAGATGAGCCTGAAGACTTCTGAATTCAGGCTGTCCTTTGCAACCAAGCCTCTCTTCCTCCACAGGGGCAAAATGGAGACCAGAGTTTCCTAAATTTCTCTTCTGTTTGGAATTGATAAAGATGCACTCTGAACTGGACTATTTCATATCTGAATATGTGAAAGTGTGTTGATTATAAATTAAAACACTATTTCCCATATTTTCTAAATATTTAAAAGATCCCTCTCAAACATCATGACACATTAAACTCACTTACCAGATTCATAAGGGCTTAAGGCAATTTTTTTTGTAGCATTTCAAACAATCCATCACCTAATTTGGTTGGGGGAGATGAAAGGATAGCCACTTGAGTGCAGGAAAAATTGTTGGCAAGAAAACATGGCAAATGGTTCCCGTAAAGGTGCCCATTTGGAATGAAATGGTGACGGATGTTTAGAAACCAGTCTTGATGCAAAACTGTAATTTTTGCAAATGGTTTTGTCTGAAGATGGCATTAATATACTCAATGCGCTATTCAGAACGGAGGACGTGCTCTTAAAAAGACATCCCGTTCCCGCACACAAACGGAAGTTTTACCCTAAGCAGGATGAGAAATTACTGTAAATTGGTTTTTACTTCAAAAATAGTTTAATAACCATGACACACACAGAGCTCCAGTCCACACAATGCATCACTTAATTTCATCCCGAACCTCTGCCGGCTTAAAAACAGACATCGAAACAGGGGAATACATTCTTGACAATGCTGTTAAGGCAACTTTGCTAACGATTTTTGAACAAGCTCCAACTGAGGCCTAAATGCCGACAATATTCATAAACAACTCTATACCGGCCAATTAGGGAGACAGAGACACAGCGGCCTGTCACGGAGATTTGCATGGCTAAGAGTCTGAGATCAGAGAGCGATGAGAGATGGCTCGGAGTGACGGGGGTGCCCAGACGGATGACTATCATTACGATATTACGGGGACTCACACCTTCCCAATTACTGGCAGGATTCATTAATTACCTCCGCATTTCCCTAATAGAATCCGTGCTCCGGCTTATCAGCGCCTTCCCTCTGTCTACCTAAACCCCCACTCAGCAGTCGATCACCTATGAAAAATTAGACAGTGCGCTCCGAGTGGCCTATTTAAAGGAAAAGACAAATGATCATAGGAAGAGGAGGGGAAAGTGCGGTACCAGAGTCGAAAGCAACAGACACTGCTCTCATTTCACTCAGACTTGTTTTTCCTCCCCTTCCTGGAACTGCCATGAGAGGAGATAAGTGTAAGCTGCTGGGAGATACACTGTGGTGAGTGTGGGAACACAAGTGTCTCTTTTACACACACACACATTCATTCATCCCCTGCTTGAAATACATCAATGCCTTTCATCATACATAAAATAACACCTAAACATCCACCCACCATTTAAAAATTCTAGCCATCTCTTCTACAAACTGTTAAGCCCCACCTCCTCAAGCCTTCTTTCTGCTGGTCTAATGCATTCAGCTCAAATCTGCCTCAGGGCCTTTGCATGTGTGGGTCTTTTGTTTGTTTGTTTGTTTTCTGGAACATGGTTTTGAGTGAGCCAAATTTGCTTTGCAGCTTGATTTTGGATGATGCTTGAACTAAGGAAGCTTTCACATTTTTAAAGGGTTAAAATGGCAATAAATAAACAGTAAGTAAATAAAAGAGAAGAAGGAGAAGGAAAGGAAGGAAGAGGGGGTAGAGCGGCTGACGCCTGAGTTCTAACAACAGATCCTCCCAGATTTTCTCAGGACTGGCTCCTTTTTCATTCAGGTCTCCTCCCAAGGAGCCACCCAGAGACGTTTTCCCCGAATATTCACTCCAGAGCAGCCCTCAGTCACCTTCCGCATTCCCTTGCTTCATTTTTATCACAGCATCCATCATCAAGGAATGCTAATTTACTGGTTGCATTTATTAGTCGATCACAGTAGTTCGCAACTCTGATGCATATTAGAATCACCTGGAAATCTATTAAAAAATCCTGATGCCCATACCTGATTCCCAGAAAATTGGGTTTGGTTCACTGGGACTGGGAACCAGACACTGATAGAGATTTTTAAAGCTTCTCCCATGATTCTGTGAACAGACGAACTTGAGAACCATTGTCTGTCTCTTCCCATGGAATGCTGGCTCCATGAGATCAAGGATGTGGTCTTGAGGGAGAGGAAGTGCCGGGTCAATGTTCGATGAATGAATTAAACAATATTCATCATATATACAGGCAAGGAATCGAGGGCTGCAGCAATGTGACAGTGACGCAAGGCCTCCCGAGCTGAAATCATGCCTCAAAAATGGGTGACAGGTCCAGGAGCCCTGTGCAGTGGTGGGAGGCTCAGCCCCGGTTAAGGGTAATGGAACGTGAGACTGCCAGGCTGTCATCTCGTTACTATCAACAGCATTATCCGTTATCAACTGCTGTTACAATTATGCACAATGATTCTCTCTTGCACAAAGATTCAGCAACCACCAAACTCGCTTCCTCTTTTAAATTAAATACACTGAAAAGAGCAGAGATTTCAATCCTTCATCTGTTCACAGATGAAAAAACATTTCCAAATCGTCAGCGATCGCATTTTTTTTTTTTATTCTAAGGACGGCCAACTGTTCCCAGCGATTTCGATTACATTTCCTACCTATTATTTCATGTAATGGCATCCCTTAAATTTTAAATTAGCTTTGAAGAATAAAAATAATTGAATTCCTGCTGTTTTGTGTACATAGAGGGTGACAGGAGCTAATGTGATAATTTAAACTGTAAATGAGTCTTCACTTTGTGTTCATTAATTACAGCTAATTACTGAATTACAAACCTTCTTGGTTAGGCACTGTTATGTATTCATGTAGCATGTTGAATCTCCAGCTGGTATAAAACTGTTTTATAGACTTACAAGCTGACACACCAAGCTACCACTGAAACAATTCAGTTTGAAAACAAGGGGGGCTGGGAACATGTAACCGCAAATGCTGCTTGGAATTAAAAGAACAGACACAGTGCCTCCAACTCATATCTTTGGGGATAGAGGATCTTGCACATATAATTAGAACAATTTATGCCACAGGAAAGAAAAAGAACACTAGGCTGTTCTCCACTCTGGGTGAAAATCTATCCTATAGCATGTAATTTGTGAGACTCAAGTGTTCCTCCCCTTATCTCCTTGTTCCCTAGAAACTGAGCATCATAATTATTTATTAACTGATCCTGCTTTTAATAACAAAGAAGCAAGAAGGATGCCAGAAATCCTGCCCTTTTTTCATGACCAGAAATGGCTAGAAAGAAAAGATTCAAATAGATGAGTCAAGGACTAGGTCATGGTGAATTCTCACATATTTGGTTAACAACATTAAAAAAAAATAGGCTGTGAGGCACTTTGGATTATTAAAGGTTAGGATCTTCTACATCATTTCCGACTCTAGATGGAAGGTCTGTGATGTCTGCTTTACAAAGATTTTCCCTAAGAGAGATTGTTGGAGAAACACTCAGATGGATGTGTGACCTCTGCTTGGCCAGTATAATTGAGCCAGGAGGAAGCATGCAGCTCCAATAGGTAAGTACTTTCGTTTCATCCCTTCTTTTTTTTCATTCATTCTGTAATTTTATGGAGCATCTACTTTATGAGGAAAAAAGCCCAGGCCCCGTGAGGTACCAGGAGACGAGCACGCAGGGCTTTTTATACCTGCCATACATAGTTGTTGCTGCTTCTGGGTGCCAACCCCGATCTTCCTTTAGGGAACCACCTCTCACACTAAGCCGATGGCTTGGCTGGGGCTCACCCCGCTTTCCAGCGACCAGTCGGCACGTGACTCCAATCTGGCCAATCCCTGTCTTCTGCTCTCCTGGCCACGGTGATTGGTCCAGGCGTGGGCACCTGACCCAGTTCCGTCCAATGAAGGACGTTTGCTGGAACCCTTTGCTGCGGAGGGGCTCAGCTGGAGCTTTGGAGCCACCACGTGCTGGAAATAGTCAGAGAACCGCGCTGCTGAAGAGCCAGTGAGATTTAAGAGGTTAAGGCCAGATTTTCAACGAAGCCGTTTAAACGCTGGTTTCAGCTTCCTCTGAATCTAGCTACACCATTGACCTTCAGAGGAGCTGATAAATTCCCTCTGGACTTAAGCTGGTTTGAGTGGATTTTCTGTCACGGGCAATCCATAGCCATGACTAACATGTACATGGTTAAACACCAAGATATGGTTTGACACAGCTCAGGGAAGACTCTGAGGATACCCAGAGGCAGGGACGATTTCTTTTCTAGCTTGGGCAAAGAAAGAGGATCCAGGGAGACTTTCTGGAGGAGGTGGTATTTCAGTAACCCTTTGAAATAAAGCAAGACTTTCTACCATAGGAGACAAGGAAGAGAAAGGAAGCAAGAAGCTGGAATTCTAGGTAAGTGTAAGGCTTGCAGGAGGCTCGCAGTTTCTAGGACATACTACCTGAAGGAAGGGAAACCCAAATGGAATGAAACGTGGCACCAGACCCTTTGCATCTTGTATCTAGTGGAGTTACACTCGGTGTCAAGCACAGAAGCACAGATACACCACTGGCTAGTGTGTGGCCTCGCCAGGGCAGTCTGGAAGTTTCTGGCTTCAGTTTGGTGAATTTTACGTTTGTGATGGCTTTGGAAGGATTGAGGGGACTAGGGTGCTTTCACAGAGGTGAAAGAGAAAAAGCATATTGCCTCCCAAGGTGAATCATGGGTAAGGGGTCCACAGGCTCAGTCTCCCAGAGATTCTCCCACAGGGAGAGTGCCACGCTTACTCATCAGGGCTCTAGAAGGATCCTAGCTGTGCCCGTCGTGTGGTTCTGTTTTGCCAGACACCAGTGTTAAATACTTCAACAGCAACCACAACAATAATAACTGGCAAAACATAGTTGAATGCTTACTAAATTCCAGATATGGCACTAAGTTAAATGAAAATAACAACACATTATCAGCAATTGTTATGACTGAAAATAAAAATTATCGGAGAGTTCAGTGTGTGCCAGGTACTCTGCTAAGTGCTTTTCTTGCATGATCTCGATGAGTTTTCACAGCAGCCCTGTGAGGTAGGGAGTTCTACCACACCCATTTTACAGATGAGAAAACTGAGTCTCTGAGAGGTGAAAGTGAAAGCCGTTCAGTTGTGTCTGACTCTTTGCCTCCCGTGGACTCTACAGAGCAGAATACTGGAGTGGGTGGCTGTTCCTTTCTTCAGGGAATCTTCCCAACTCAGGGATTGGACCCAGGTCTCCGGCATTGCAGGTGGATTCTTTACCAGCTGAGCCACAAGGAAAGCCCAAGAATACCGGAGTGGATAGCCTATCCCTTCTCCAGTGGATCTTCCTGACTCTGGAAGTGAGCTGCGGTCTTCGGCATTGCAGGCAGGTTCTTCACCAACCGAGCGACCTGAGAGGCCCTGAGAGCTATCGTGACGCATCCGGACAAGAGGACAAGCGGGGGAGCAGGCTCAGGTCTGGGAAGAATATGATTCTGGCCGCACTGGGCCTGTGAGCGCTTCCTCTAGTTGGGCCAAGCCAGGTCTGCTCTCTAGTCATGCTGAGTGGGCTTCTCACTGCGGTGGCTGCTCTTGCTTCGGGGCTCAGGCTTTAGAGGGAGCAGGCTCAGTAGTCGTGGCACAGAGGCTTAGCTGCTCCGAGGCATGTGGGATCTTCCCAGACCAGGGGTTGAACCGGTGTCCCCTGCATTGGGAGGTGGATTCTTAACCACCGGACCACAAGGGGAGTCACCACATGCATCATTTTTCCATCGCTCTGGAACGGAGGAAGATGGGGAAAAAAGGGCCATCATTGCATGCTCCTTACCACCTCCTTGTCCTCTCCGAGAGGTTCTCACCGCTTTTTCTGCCATAAGGGTCCCTCTTGGCCGTACTTATCTTTGCATCCACCAGTATCTTGCGAGACAATCTCGCACAGAGCCTGGCACAAAGGAAGTACTCAGAAATAGTTGGTCAAACTGAGCTGTATCAAATTAATATTGTTCCTTATCAGAGTTTTTAAAGCGCCAGAGTAGTCTCCAAACCAACAAGGAAGCCCCTTAAGAAAGGAGTGGATTTCTCATTCAGAAAGCTTCCTGTCTGTTGTGTGGTTTGGGAATATCACATATCCTGGACTTTCTGGGTTCTGTTTTCTTTCTTTTACATCCATGGGCATTCAGAAACGCTGTGTGACGAGAAAGAACACAGCCTCCTTTTTCAGCTTGGCGGGCTGCTGGGTTTGGTTTCGGAAAACGTGTCTGCACAAACATGCTCCAGAAGCGGAGAGGCCCCCGGCACGCCCTCGGCACGGCGTCTGCGGGCTGACTGCTCTCAGCCCGGCCAAAGCGCGGCAGCACCTGAAGCCCGAGGACAGGCACGTGGTCCCAGGACTGGCGGTGAACACTAAGAAACCTCCAGAATTCCCGCAACCCCCAAGTAGGTCTCACTGGGTGTAACGGTCTCTGCTTGCTTTGCGGACGTCCACATTTCCGAGTTCTGTTTGCGTCTGTGCTTCTGTTAGCTGGGAACCCAGCACTGATCTTAATAACCACTACTTATGGAAATCAAGTCTTAAGGGACAACTTAAGCGTCTCTCTTGACTACGTCTGGCCCTCGTGAAACCTATTTCCAGGACCATGTGTCTAAGCATTTACTCTGTTTTGCCCTGCAATGCTGGTAAACCACCTCCCATGAGAGTGAGTTAAACTTGACTCCCCTGATGTGTTGTTAGCACTTTGAAGGTGAAGGCGGTGGACTTTGGGGCTCCTCAGGCTTGGGTTCAAACCCAGACCTGCCACTTCGCAACTCAGCGAGCTTCAGTGAGCCATTTTGCCTCTTGAAATTTGATTTCCTCTTTGGCTAAATGTGAATGATAACACTTATGTCACTGTGACGGTTCCACGAGATGGTGTATGTGAAACAGTCCGTGTTCAGGTCCGTGCGGCACTGGTCATTGCGGTGGTGCTGATGACAGCAGGCAGGACTGCTTGTTTATATTCCTTTGGCCACACTGGGTCTTAGCTGTGGCCCTAGAATCTTTAGTTGCGGCACGTAAACTCTTAGCTGAGGCATGTGGGAGCTAGTTCCCTGACCAGGGATCGAACCCAGGCCTCCTCTATTGGAAGCATGGAGTCTTAGCTAGTGAACCCCCAGGGAAGTCCCTGGGGGACAATATTAAATAATATTGTTTAAATATTCCACTGAACTCAGAACATTTTTGGTCAACAGTATTTCCTTAGTCCACATTTGGTGATTAATTAACGTTAACTCAGAATGGAAAAAAGATCTCCAGCCAATTGCTGGTTAAGAAGGGAGAGGGAAGGAAAGGAGAAGAGGCTAGACAGAGCACCTTTGCCCCCAGAACGGTCCTCAGGATAGATGCTGTTGGTCATCTACTCTGTATCCCTTTCCCTCTCCTTCCTGCTGGTAAAATTCCGGCTTTGTTCTCTGTGGCCATGTGCCCAACTAACACTCACGTGGCAGCATTGTGCTTCCATGAGTGACAGAAAGACACACAGCTCTGGCCGAGGAAGCTTAAGTGGAATTCTGCTGGGTCTCTGGGAAAGACTTGCCAACCCCTGAGAAAAGGGGACCCGGGTGATCGGAATAGTCATTCCACTTCTTTCCCCACCTTGAATGCAGACGTCCTGTCCCATGCCAGCAGCCATCCTGCAGCTGTGAGACAACCACCAAGTGACTCACAGAGACAGCTTCTAACACCGTTACCCATCGATACAACGCCACAGGCACCTGCTTCTGGGCGCCATGATGGTGAGAAGAGAAAGCCTCGATTTACTTAAATCAAGCTACAAAAAGTTGGGTTTTATTTGCTGCCTAAAGCATTTCTAACTTATAACCTTCCTGCTTTTTTTTTGACAGCGAAAAACCTCTGGAAGCCCAATTGAAAAAACGAATTCTCTAGTTTGGTGTGAATAATATTCAGAAATAGCAGCAGAATTAGCAGCCTGCCTCTGCTAATGCAGTGAGTGAAGTGAAAGTCTCTCAGTCGTGTCTGACTCTTTGTGACCCCATGGACTGTCCATGGAATTTTTCAGGCCAGAATACTGGAGTGGGTAGCCGTTCCCTTCTCCAAGGGATCTTCCCAACCCAGGGATCAAACCCAGGTCTCCCGCATTGCAGGCGGATTCTTTACGAGCTGAGCAACAAGGGAAGCCCAAGGATACTGGAGTGGGCAGCCTATCCCTTCTCCAGGGGATCTTCCCGACCAGGAATCGAACCAGGGTCTGCACACAAACCCATGGCAATAATGATGAATGATAATAGTGATATGAGTTAAGTGGTGATGCTGGCTCAGATGTAGCATGTCACTTGGAACACTCTTGAGAGTCCCTTGGAGAGCAAAGAGATCCAACCAGTCCATCCTAAAGGAAGTCAGCCCTGAATATTCATTGGAAGGACTGATGCTGAAGCTCCAATACTTTGGCCATCTGATTCAAAGAGTCTCCTCGTTGGAAAATACCCTGATGCTGGGAAAGACTGAGAGCAGATAAAGAAGCAGGCATCTGATGATAAGATGGTTGGATGGCATCCCCAACTCAGTGGACAAGAGTTTGAGCAAACTCTGGGAGACAGTCAAGGACAGGGGAGCCTGGCTAGCTGCAGTCCGTGGGGTCGCAAAGAGTTGGGTATGACTGAGCGACTGAACAGCAACTTGGAACATAGGAGGCGTTAAGATAATTATTTTATTGTATTATGTTTTTTGGCTGAGCTGCCCAGCTTGCAGGATCTTAGTTCCCCATCCAGGGATTGAACCCGGGTCCTTGGCAGTGAAAGCAGAGTCCTCACCACTGGACCACCAGGGAATTTCCAAGAAAAATATTTTAAGTCATGGCATGAAAGGGGGTTTCCCTCTTAGCTCAGTCCGTAAAGAATCTGCCTGCAATGCAGGAGACCTGGGTTCAATTCCTGGGTCGGGAAGATCCTCTGGGGAAGGAAGTGGCAACCCACTCCAGTATTCTTGCCTGGGGAATCCCATGGACAGATGAGCCTGGGGGCTACAGTCCATGGGGTTGCAAGGATCAGACATGACTTAGCGACTAAACCACCACCACCATGGCATGAAAGCATAAGTGATAAATTGCATACTCTATCCACAGCTCCACCAAATTACTTATTATCTTCCTTTCCCAACATAGATTTGTTTAACAAATTTTCTCATTTTTTTTTTTGTAAATGGGAATGATGATAATTCCTATGTCACAGCATTGGCGTAAATATTAAACAAGTTACGACATGTAAAAAGCTGTCACACAGCAGGTTATGGATCATTATTATTGCCGTGTGCTGTGCTTTCTTGTATTATTTTCATGAGATTAACACAGGGACAAAACCTGGGTGATTCTGCTCCAACCTAGTCCATGTTCTGGGTGTCAGTTATCCTCATTTGTAAAATGTGAATTCGATGCCAAACTAGCATTTCCTAATTTTCTTTTTTTTGCAACATCATGATCACCTGTATTCTCTCTACTGTTTGTTTTAACCTATTTTTTTCTTTAATTTGGCTCACTTTTTTCTTTCTTAGCTTTTATCCTAGGCAATAGTGTCTATGGGATTACAGATACATTTTTGTTGTTTAGTTGATCAGTTGTGTCTGACTCTTTGAAATCCCATGGACTGCAGCATGTCAGGCTTCCCTGTCCCTCACTATCTCCCAGAGTTTCTTCAAACTCATGTCTACTGAGTTGGTGATGCCATCCGACCATCTCATTCTCTGTCACCCCCTTCCCCTTTTGTCCCCAATCTTTCCCAGCATCAGAGTCTTTTCCAATGAGGCGGCTCTTCGGATCAGGTGGTCAAAGGATTGGAGCTTCCAGTTTGGCATCAGTCTTCAGGGTTGATTTCCTTGAGAATTGACCGGTTTGATCTCCTTGCTGTCCAAGGGGCTCTCAAGAGTCTTCTCCAACACCACAGTTTGAAAGCATCAATTCTCTGGTGCTCAGCCTTCTTTATGGTCCAGCTCTCACATCAGTACATGACTACTGGAAAAATCACATCTTTGACTAGATGGACATTTGTCGGCAAAATGATGCCTCTGCTTTTTAATACACTGTCTAGGTTTGTCATAGATACATGTCAGTCCTCAACTGGGGATGGCTTTGACCCCCAGAGGCCTTTGGAAATGTCTGGAGACGTGTTGGGGAGTGAGGGGACTAACGTCCAGTAGGTAGAAAGAAGCCAGGGATGCTGCTTAATATCCTACAGTGCACAGACCAGTCCTCACAGCAGACGGTGATTCGGGTTATGACGTCCATCGCGATGAAGCTGAGAAGGCCGACACCGACATACATTTGAATATGCTTTAAAACAAATACAGAGCTGTCCCCCCCACCCCGCCCCCTGCAAAGTGAAAAAGTGAAAGTCCCTCAGTCATGTCTGACTCTTTGTGACCCCACTGTCTATACAGTCCATGGAATTCTCCAGGCCAGAATACTGGAGTGGGTAGCCTTTCCCTTCTCCAGGGGAGCTTCCCAACCCAGGGATCGAACCGGAGTCTCTTGCATTGCAGGAGGATTCTTTACCACCTGAGCTATCAGGGAAGCCCCCCAAAGTTCTGTGTAAATCACTTGTGTGACCACTGTGTGTGTGTGCAGGGGTAAGTGTGCTAACGCTGCTGAGCTCAAGTCCTGATGAGCTTAAGTCCCTTCCTCTGCAAAGTGGAGACCGGAGGTTGGTTCTCTTTTTACTTAGAGCTAAGAAAGGAATTTCTTCAGAAACACTACCTCACCTCTGGGAAGAAAACAATACTTATTTCCAAGGAGCTGTGTTTACCTGTAGAAAGTCTGACTTTCCAGAAACCTTGAGATGCATCTGCCTGGAGCACTGTGGCCCCCACTGGCTGGTCACCCAAAGCACCCACTGATAAAGAGACCTCGCTTTCCCGGTAGAGCAGTAATTCTGCACATTCCCCCACCCGGACCTGTGAACATGTTCACACACGCAGGCCTGGCTCCCAGAAGCACTGTAGGGTGAAGATCCCAATTTCCCTTCCGTCTCTAACATTCAGAACATTTCAGGGTGGGACTTCCCTGGTGGTCCAGCTGTCGAGAACCTGCTCGCCAGGGCAGGGCAAGTGGGTTTGATCCCTGGTCTGGGAAGATTCCACAGGTCGCGGAGCAACTACGCCTGAGCGCCACGGCTACCCAAGGCTGCAAGTTCTCCAGCCCGCGCTCCGCAACAGGGGACGCCACCGCGGTGAGATGCCTGCGCGGCAACCAGAGAGGGGCCCGCGCAGCAACGGAGACCCAAGGCGGCCGAAATAAAAACATTTTAAAAGTGAAAACTCCAGTGCACTGCTAGTGAGTTCACTGGCCGCCCTCAGCCTTCAACATCAACGGGGAATGGATGATGCAATCACTTGCAGCTCATCCGGAGTCCCAGACCACAGCCGAAAACTGCCCGGGGAGTTCCTCAACCAGGACTTTCCTGAACGGGAGCCATCTAAACATGAAGGCGCGAAGCTGTGATGAGGGAGACAGGAACCAGAGCCAGAAAAGTGACTGAGAATTAGTGCCCTGTTTTGGCACTGACCACAGTCATGGCCCAGGATGCCTTTCCGGCACTTTATGTGCACAACTCAGACTTCACTCTCCGCGTGACTGGGGGAGATCTTTAGGCAAGGAGCCTACTCCGCATTAACCGATGGGGAGACTGGCTTTGGGGAAGGACCCTAGAGCGAATTCCACAACTCTGCTTCCTCCCAGTTTGCTGACTTTCCACTTGACCCTGGGCCAGCCTAACAGACCCTCCTTCCCTGTGTGATGCTCCCGGAGGCTCCCCGTTCCTGAGACTGGTGCTGGGAGTGATGGAGACGGAGTCACTCGGAAGTAGAGACTTTAATTGGTGCAGCTTATACGTGGCTTGTACAAAGGCTTATAGAGCCTTGATACCTAGTACAAACGAAAGGATTTCTGGACGGCCACAGCGGCTCAGACCCAGCGACCCTCGTGTGTACGTTGTCTCTCACAACCGTCCCCTCTTTGTTGAGGTCCTCGGTATAAGCAATTTTTGCTTAATTGGGCATCTGTGCTACCTCAGGTGTCTAGGCCTTCCACCTCTCCGTTAATATGAGTGGAATTCTTGGGAGTCACACGGTAGCTGGGATTCCCTGGAGAAGACCGTGGCTGCGTTAGGGACAGGTAGGGGAAGGTTGTTTCAGGGGCATGGCTGGGAGGTGACCTTCTAGGGTGACTGCTAGAGCTGTTCAATGCAGACGGGCAAAATAAACAACGCTCGTTCAAACTTGGCTGTTCGTCGCCTCGATTGTGGACTCGGAAACCTGCATCATCATCGGGAGCTCCTTAGCTTTCGCACCCAACCGCCGTTGGCTTGTCACTTTCTCCGAAGTGGAAGGGGACTCCTCCTCCACGCACACCGCTCGCACACGCTCAAGACCAGCTTCCCCGGTGTAGACCGGGAGGGGGTGCGGATCGGGCAGGCAACCCAGGAGGGCAGAGGAACTGCAATCACACCTCGCATCTCTTCACAAAGGTTTGATTCTCTTCCCGAGGATGATCCGCCAGTCTGTAATCAAGGGTTAATTTCACAGCTCACTGCTTCATCTAGCATAATATCCATTCAGACTAATTAAATCTGTCTAATAATGTGAGTGTCTTTGTCTTTGTTCTTCCCCTTCTTTGTTTTACACCCTTCACATCTCATCTCCAGAACCACACGCCATCACACTCTACTTGACAAGCAGAATCCATCCCTAAAATTAAAACATTCCTGACCTATCTGCAATGACAAGGCAGGCGAGCTTCACGGCGCTCCGGCCCATGAAGGCAGCTGACACATTTGTTTTTAATTTCAAAAGAGTAGAAAGTGAAGATCTGACCCCGTCAATCAAGCCCCGTGACAGGTTTAATCATTGGTGCCCCACAAAAATCACGGCTAAATAGGAATGCAAATACTGTATCACAGGGCTCTTATAAATGCTAATCAAGGAGAAGTAATCAACTGACAATTTCACTGATCTCTTTTCTGAAGAAGTCACTCAAGGCTCTGTCTCTGGGCCACAAAGAAAAGAGAAAAAGACAAAAGAGGTGGATGAGGTTCCCCCCAACCTTCCTTTTATTTTTCCTTCCAGGACATTTCTTTCTAAAGAGAGAATTGGCTCTTTTGATCCATCGTGGAACTTGAAAGCAAAGAACTTACGCAGTTATATGTCAAGTATACTTTATTATCAGTCCCTGGGCCGGGCAGAAAACGCACCGAAACTTCTGCTAAAATAAAAATCATCATTTGTCTTTGTCATTAATCTCTTCTCAAATTCTCTTATATCTAAAAAGTGATTGACCTTCTCTGTGAGAGAAGGAGGGAGAAGAGGGAGAAAAAAGTTTTGTACGTAGCTGAAAATCTGAAAATTGTGATCACGGTGACTTAAAAAAAAGAAGTAGAAAAAAAAATCCCTTTTACAAACTTAATCTGAAGTTGATGAAGAATTTATAACCTCCAAGAAGTTCTCAGATAAGCCTCTCCCCTATTGGTTCCGATGCTTGTCTTGCTGAGAGAGACAGGGGTTGGGGGCACATTTTTTGAGACCTTCCTTTCACATGGGAACTGAGATCTTTGTATTTTATCCAGTTTAGAAACCAAGGATTTTTTCTTTCTTCTTCTCTAGTTTTTAACCAGGAGGTCCTTAAAACATCCAGCTTGTCAGTTACTTTCTACTGTGTGTGCTCAGTCGCTCAGTCGTGTCCGGCTCTGCGTGACCCCGCGGACTGTGGCCCGCCAGGCTCCTCTGTCCATGGAATTCTCCAGGCGAGAATACTGGAGTGATTGCCATTTCCTTCTCCAGGGGGTCTCCCCAATCCGAGGCTCTAACCCAGGTCTCCTGCTTCTCCTGCATTGGCAGGTGGATTCATGACCACTGAGCCACCTGGGAAGCACTATTTCTATTATAAACTCCTGTTTTATGGAATCATAGCAGGAAAAGAAAAAGGCCAGCACTAAGTTAATCCAAGTTTGTCCTGTAATGTTTGTTCAATCCTCTTAAGACGGAATACTCCAGAAACCCAAGTGTTAGCAAGATGGTTTCCTGTAGTGCCACTAAACCAAGTCCCAGATGTCCAGGATGTTCTCCTTCATCTCGAAGACAGAAAAGTGGGAACTTATGGGATTTTGGGGGAGATGATGAGATGTCCCTCTTTTGTCATGTTCCTTGTAAGAGGTGGACAGGCCAAACCTGGCTGCTGCCTGCTCACCTGTGGCTCAGGAGCAAAGAATACTTTTTCTTCTCTCCATTTTTGTAAATGGTTGAGGAGGAATGAAAAGAATATTTCATGATTTAAGAATTACATGAAATTCAGATTTCAGATTCCATAAATAAGGTTTTAGCGGAAACACAGCTCATCATTTACATCCTGTCTGTGGCCACATTGCATGCTGCAGAATTGAACAGCTGCAACAGAGGTTGTATGACCGGCAGAATTGAAAATATTTACTGTCTGGCTCATTATCGAAAACATTTGCTGACCTCTGATTTATATCATCATGGAAGTTTCCTGGATCTTAGCTGTGCCTCAGTTTCCAAGCCATGGAAATTCTTTTTTATGGACAAAAAAACTGCGTATAAGTATTACATATATATTATATATATTATATATTTACTTATTTGGCTGTGCCAGGTTTTCTTTGCAGCTTGTGGGACCTCCCTGGTGGTCCAGTAGCTAAGACTCTGCACCCCGCTACGCCACAATGAAGACCCGGGGAAGCCAAGCAAAGACTATTTAAAACCCTGTATATGTTTTAAATGTGCAGTGTGGTGATTTCACGTGTGTATTCACTGTGAAATGATTACCACGGTCAGGTCAATTGACACACCCCTCACAGAGTTGTGTGTGTGTCTATGTGTGTGTAGCAAGAGCGCTTACGCTCTGTTCTTCCAGCAAATTGCAAGAATGCCATTCGGTACCATCACCGACAGATCACGGGGCCGTACTGGAGCCCCGGAACGTGATCACGCGATCACGTGATTGCACACAGAAGTGAGATCCACAGTATTTGTCTTTCTCCTCTGGCTCCCTCCACTCAGCAGACTGTCCTTCAGGCGCATCCATGTTGCTGCAAACAGCAGAGCCGCCTTCTTTCTTGTGGAATGATGTGTCGTCGCGCGGGCGTTTTGGATAGACGGCCCCTGGTGAAGGCGCTCCGGCTCTGCAGATGTCCATGCTCAGCGTGCTGGAGGACAAGCGCTCTCCCAGTGAAACGACAGCTTCATTCACCTGGAACCAGACCAGGCGCTTGTCCGGCTTTCACGGGCCCCTCCTGCTGCCTGGGGTCTGAGCACAGGCCGCTTCCTGAAGGGAGCGGGGCTGGCGGCCACCCATTGTGGGGTCAGTCACGGGCCGCTCACGGCTCCTCTCCTAGGAACACTGCTGCAAGTTAAGATCTAGTTCATTTTGGAATAATAACGGGGCTCCCAAAATAGAACACTGTTAACAACAAAAAGGGAATACTGCTCTATATTTCTATTCTGCTGGATAGTCTCTGAAGCTCAATGTGATGGATAACGCAGAGCTGGGAATTAAAGAGGTTGGTTAACTTGTTGCCCCAACAGTACTTGGGCAGGAGATCATAAAAGGGGATATTCCTTTCTGACAGACATGCCCGGGTATTTAATGTCTTCACACATACCCTGACCTACATTTTTTTTTTACATATTAAAATAATAGTTATCCAGAACGTTCTCTTAATATTTCCCAGGGGAGCTTTTAATTCTCATTTCAAAGCTAAACTGATTTTCCTTTTGTTAGAGTGATGGTTCTCCACTGGGGGTGATGTGCCTCCCACTAGGGGAAGGAGAGGGAATCCTGGAGTAGGAGCTGGGTGCTGGGGACACTTGGTGATCCCTGGAGACATTTTTGGTTGTCAGGACGCAGGAGGGTGCAGGGCTACTGGTATCTAAGGGGTAAATGCCAGGGATGCTGTGAAAATCCCGCGCATGTGCGCCAGGACAGCCTCCACATCAGAGACACGTTTGGCCCCAAACGTCCACACTGTTGAGGTTTATGAACCCTTGTGTTGTTCCGTCGCTAAGTCATGTCCAGTTCTCTGTGACCCCATGGACTACAGCATGCCAGGCTCCCTTGTCCTTCACCAACTCCCGGGGTTTGTTCAGACTCATGCCCGTGGAGTCAGTGATGCTGTCTAACCACCTCATCCTCTGCTGCCCCCTTCTGCTTTTGCCTTCA